TTAAATGTGCATTTCTAAAAAATAAAATATATGATTATCGTATAACACTATTCTTTTTTTACTAAAAATGTAAATCTTTTGAACTTATTTTCAAAAATAAGAAGTATTCGACACGCGGGCGGGAGTGATGGCTTGATTTAAACGTAGGAATAAATAAGAATCGATTTAAAATATTAAATTAAGTTCTTTATTTTCAAAAGTTAACTAGTAAAATATTATATAATAAGGATCTCTTTATATATACAAAAATAAATCAATTTAATAAAAAATATAATATAACGTTTCTTATAAAAATTAATATAAAGTAAAAGTTTAAATTGATAAACCTTCATAATCTACAATATATTAAAATTAAATTGTTACTAATGTAACAAGAAGTAATAAAAATCATGTAAATCGAATAAGCCATATAAGGGAACCCAGTTGAAGACCGGGCAAAACCGAGCCGAAGGCCCGAATAATGGGGGTAAGGAAGCGAAGCCCCCATATAAATGAGGCAGCCATGAAAAAATGCCCATGAGGTCGTAGCGTCGTCAGTCCGCCCACGAGTATATGGGACTTTAAAGCTTTTGTACTTGTCCTTATATTTTAATCTAAGCCGAAGATTTTTTATGTAATATAATAGTGAAGGAATGTGAATAATAATATGTAGGAATAGTAATATATTAATCAGAAAAGGCAACAACAGTATAATTTGTTTTAATCGCTATATATATTTATTATGAGTTTGGGGGCGTTGTGTTCTAATTAATTAATGTTGTTGAAATTTTTCGGCTTGAGTACCCTTGGATATTTCATAGGAGATATGTGGAATTGATTGAGATTTCATCCCATCGTCAGGTTGTTATTATTTCGACAGGCTTTGAATCCGAAGAGGCATATCTCTTAGTTGGCTTGATAACTAATTTATATGTGCAATAGAGTGCATAGGGATTACAAAGGTAAAGTCACCGACATATTATCATAACCCCAATAGTGAGGAAGTCATTGGAAGCGTCAACGTAGACAGGGTTTACAGAACGCGATCTTAGCTTGATGGGATGCTGAAGAGCACCAATGATAACTTCCACGTGTCACTCATAAGCGTAGAGCGATAAAAGTCTAGACATCCCAGTAATGGTGTAGGAGAAATTGTTAACTACGCCGAGGACTCGGCGGCTAGAAGACGTCCAATCTCTGAATGCTGATAGAAAAGATTACGAAAGACTTCCATTAATCTGGGCGCCGCCTAAAGGCCCATATACTTGGCTAAATTAAATAATACATAATTTTTTTAGATAGCTACTTGTAATTCAAAATTACTAATACATTCTTCTATATTTTTTAAAATAGTCAAAATCTATTAATAACAAAGGAATAGACTTTTATAAGAGTAATATATTAAGCTTTCGAGCTTTAATATTGACCTCGTAAATCGACAAAATTTAATATGACAGTGCATCCATAACTTCAGTTGTAAAAATTTGACCTTGAAACATTTAGTAAGATTATAAAAAAATTTACAATCATTAAATAATGGCAAAAATAATAGAATGTCTGTCGCTGCACTAGATTTTGTTTTAGTGTACCGTAATTTGTTTTTATTAATTTTGTTATTTACTTACATTTTAGTTTCGGCTATTAAACTTCTTAAGCATTTGTTATCAACGGAGCACTAAAAAATTATATAAGTTTCATATCCATAATTTGTCAGGTCGAAATTTGACCTTGAAATATTTATTGTTGATAACTCACTTTCCTTTATTTTTTTTGAAATTCTGTTTGAAGAATTTGGAGGATCAATTAAGGCACTAAATATTTGTTTTATAAAAAATGAATGCTCGAATTTTAAATTTTGGCAAAATGCCCAAACCTTTCTATTTTGCCTATAACTCACGAATGGTTCATTCCGCTGGTATGCGGTTTAAAGATTCTGGAGGATCAATTAACGTTATAAACTTTGGCATAAATTTCGGTAATTAATTTTCACTTTAAAAAAAAATTCCGCTAACTTCACGTTTTTAAAACCGTTATAACTCGGTTACGGTTAGTGATACGGATATGCGGTTCGCAGACTATTAATGTACACATTAAATACTACATAATTGCGAAGTTTCAGATCATGATCTTTTATATTTTCGGTTTTGGAAAAGTGCCAACACTTTCTTATTTGCCCATAACTCACGAACGGTTCATTCCGCTGCTTTCCGGATAGAAGATCAATTAGGATCAATTAACGGCCTACACAATGGTATAAGTTTCGGTAATTGACCCTTAAATCGTTCCGCCAGCTTAAATAATTCCGCCAACTTCACGTTTTTAAAACAGTTATAACTCGGTTACCGTTAATGATACGGATATGGGGTTTGGAGATTATAACTTACGTATTGAATACTACATAATTGCCAAGTATCAGAACATGAACTTTTTTATTTTCAGTTTTGGCAAAGTGCCAACACTTATTTTGCTCATAACTCAGTAACGGCTTATTCCGCTGTTTTCCGGATTGAAGATCTAGGATCAATTAACGGGCTACACAATGGTATAGGTTTTGATAATTGATCCTCAAGTCGTTCCGCCAAATCAAAAATCACACTTTCCTTATTTTATTGATATCTCACTTTCCTTATTTTATTGATATCTCACTTTCCTTTAATTTTTTTGACATTCTGTTTGAAGAATTTGGAGGATCAATTAAGGCACTAAATATTGGTTTTAGCTAAAAAGTGATTGCTCGAATTTTAAATTTTGGCAAAATGCCAAAACTTTTCTATTTTGCCCATAACTCACGAACGGTTCATTCCGCTGCTTTCCGGATAGAAGATGATAGAAGATCAATTAACGGGCTACACAATGGTATAGGTTTCGGTAATTGATCCTCAAATCGTTCCGCCAGCTTTAAAATTTCACACTTTCCTTATTTTGCTTATAACTCATTAACCATTGATTCCGCTGATGTTTGGTTTGAAGATCAATTGAGACTCTAAATATTGGCATAGGTTTTGTTAATTGATCCTCACATCGTTCCGCTAACTTCACGGACCTTGCTTACAATACAATATAATAGGCCTATTCAAAATGAATTCGAATCAAATAGTGCATTATTCATATTCGATTCGTTTACTATTCGTATTCGTATGAATAATAAAATCTACTATTTGTATTCGATTTGAATTATTCGAATAATTGAAATTAATTTTCTTAATAAATATCATACTCAAATATATTGACAAATTTTTTTATTGCAAATTTGATTTCAAACAGAAAAAATTATTATAATAATCTGATAATAAAAAATATGTAATCAATAATTTGATGATAAATATGTATCAAGTTATAAACAAAATGTTTAAATTCATAAATCTAAGCCAATATTTAAGGCAAAGAGTTTTTCTTATATTTCCTTCCTTATATGACATGCGATTTTTTGACAACAAATTAGTTCCAACTAAGAAAATTTTTTTACATGCAGTGGATGTTCCTTGTATTGATAGGTAATCTCTAGGTGTGAATGAACCTATTATAATGATTAATAAGAGGGGATGTTGTTTTGCCATACATTTTATAATGCTCTATGATTGCAAGCAGCCTTTTCATCGTCTTTATTGATTTGATATTGATCCCATATAATAGCTCTATTTGTGAGGAAATTTTGTCAAATTCAACATCAAGCATAACTATTTCATCAGAAGCATTCTCCTCTAACATAATTAAGCTACTTTGTGTATTTTTTTAATATAATTTATTATGAGATTCAAAGAATAAACTTCTCGTGAGATTGGAAAATACGGTCAATAAAAATTTAAATATTGCTTTAATTTTCACTTCAGAGATTTTTTTAATTTGTGCTAGTCTTTTTATAAACACATTACCTGTCAGATTGGAAGGACATCAAATAGAAATGACAAATATTCGATTTATTAAATATTCCGAATAATTCGTTTTATTCGAATCGAATTTTTTTTTGAATAGACCTGGAGATATGTCAGTAATAAGTTCATGTTATGTAGACGCTATCCCATTTACCAAAAGGCTGGTTTCAGGAAAAACTCGAATTCGAATCATTTATCTTATGCATCTTGGCAATCTGTATGACTTCTTAGCTTCTATGCCACTTCAAAAGGGAGGATTTATTTAATATAATGATAATTCATTGTGTTCTCTCATACAGTTTTAGAAAAATAATGCATGGCGACCGTAAAATTATTTATATTTTGCAATCACCATTTTTACTTCTTGACACTTAGTAATTATTGGGCCTTATTAGTACTTATTGGCGTTTATTATTACTCATTGGCACTTATTAATATTCATTGGCGCTTATTATTAGTTAATGGCTCTTATTAGTAACTATAGGGCCTTATTAGTACTTACTGGAGCTCCTAAGGCGAAAAGGCTAGGAATAATGGTTACTTATTTATTGGTACTCCTTGGGCGAAATGTCTATAGGCGAAACGTACCACAAACAGTTATAATATTTTTATACAATATATTCACTCTTAAATATTTTTAATCTTCAAAAATTTTATTATTTGTGTTAAATTGATATTTTTTAAAATATGATTAGCTCTAATAAATTTTTTCGTATTTCAAAAAAACTATTTTTAAGAAAATTATTCTCCCTCCACCCATAGAAATCCTAACTATGCGTCTGCCTTCATATTTTATATACCATTAAATTAATTATCAATAAAAGAATCGGTTACATATACTATCAATAAAATTACATATCACAATGTGATTCAGGTCCTTCAAAATTAAAAAAAAAGCGCGCTATAAATTATTTTAATTTTATAGATTTGCTAAAGGGTAAATGAAGCATTGACTTAGTAAACCACTATGAAGTATATTTATATATTATAAATTTTGGGTAAAAAGATTTTAAATTTACCATTTTCATAACACAAAAGTTCACAAAAGTTTTATTGTGTAATGGTCTATCTTTATAATAATATGGCGTGAGTTGTATTTTTGTCACACAAACAATATATAATTGGATATTATATAAAAATAAATAGTAACTTAATATTTGCATTTTTTAAGCCATTATCAATAAAATATAATCTACAATATACTTGAACATACCGCATAGAATTTATACAATAAATTAAATAATATGTATAAAAAAATAATGATGAGAATCTAAAATTGATAAATTAAATAAATAAATATCATTCGATTCTGTAGACTAGTTATTTATATTTTTTAGGAAGAAGTATTTATGATAAATTGACTAAATGATTAAACATTAAAATATTAATATTATAATAAATTATCTTTCTGGTTGGCATAAATTACATCGATATTAAAGTTAATAACATTTTAGCTGCAATTAGCGCATTTATCACGTGATTCAAAAATGGAGCAAATTTCATCTTTAGTATACATAATTCATATTTACAATGATTCTTAGCTCATAAGCTAGGCGTAAATAAATATGATTTAATATAATTTTTTTCTGAGATTTATATAATAGATCAACTAAAAAGAAAAATATTTTTTTTACTAAAAAAGCTTAGTATAAAAAGTTAAAAACATTAGGAAAATGTTAAGTTCAAAAATATTATTTTTCCCCCTCTTATTATTAAATGTTTTCTTCTCCTGATTATAGACAGTTTCTCTCTAAAGGGCGACTAACTACTTTAAGAAATGGTGGTAATAGAGAAAATAATATTTTAAAAATTTGTTAATGGTGTATGTGCATCATTAATTTGTTCGTCAAAGAGTTGAATCAAAATGTATGTCATTTATTGAAGTTCGATGAATAGAACCTTTTCTAATTTTTGATATAAAATAATACATGAATGGTTTATAAAAATATAGTAACCTGGATATATAATATATATGTTTAATTATGTAAAAATTTGTTTTAGATTTAAAAAGTTTAATAATCAAAAATAATAAATAACTATTTTTGAGCTTACATGCTTTAGTATAAATCTTTTTTAGGAGTATGTGTTAGCATTGTAATGTAATATAAAAAAAGAAGGGTTACAAAATGAATAAGCTATAAATTTTAGTGAATATAATATATTATATATAAATATATCGTATAGTTTAAGCAGTTTAATTTAATCAGTGATTGCCATAGAGTTTTAGTCATTGACGTGAGAAAGGAGAGGCAAATGGGTGCTTAGCACTCTTAAAATAAAAATCAATACCCTCCTCCCTAATTATATTTATAAAAAATTCAAATGATTTTAAAGTTGTTAAAACATTTATTATCCTTAATTTTAAAAATAATTAATATAACCTTTTTTTAATACCATTCTCATAAGCAGTTTATAATTAAAAACTTATTTTTAAGCATCCCTAAATAAATTTTAAAAAAAGCCAGTGTACCCTCTGGCTTAGGTAAATAAATATAATATAAACGAATATCATAAATTGTAAAAAATCTATTCATTTATTTTTTTTTCTTAGAAAGATTTTAATGAAATCCATATTAGTTATTTTTTAATTAATTTTCATATATAACCTTTAAGTTATATATAAAAAATTTTAATTTACACTTTATTTTATATTTTGTAAAAATAATTAATTTTAAACTTAATGTAACCCATAAAAAAACATGAGGATATCTAAGGATATCCTTATTACATATTTTTACAAACTAAATGGTATTCTTCTGAGCACTATGTGCAATCAAAACATTTATACATGACGAGATCTCCATAATGTGGTTGCTCAGACGAAATTCTTTATTTAAATTTATGACCATATTTAGGAGATAATCATCGTGTATAACAATTCTATAATTGGTTTGGATAGTTTTGGGGCCAAAAAAGGAAGAGGTGGTCAGGGTTTCATATTTTACCTATGTTTTGAAATAAAGGCAAAAACCTATATACAAAAAATTGTATTATTCTTTTTATGAGTTGTATTTTGTAAATTATTTTAAAAAGAAAATAAAAATGTGTCCATCATATGATTTTCCAAATTACCTGATATAATTTGAATTTTATTTTTAAAAAAATCAGCCCTTAAAAAAGAGATTTCTGCGTCCTAGTTCGGGCTTGCAGGTCTCTATTAAATAATGTAATGTATTTTTTAAAAAATATCAAAAGAAGTTGACAAATATTTATTAAAAAGTTCATTCATTATAAAATAAACGTTAAAATAAATATTATGTTAATATAAGAAAAGAAATAACCTGATTTCGTAGGTGGAAGAATCGTAGGTATAATTATCTTTGACTAACGAATTTTCCTTTAAACAAAAAAATTTTTTCTAATTTGATTTTATAATAATAATAATCATAATAATAATTATACATATGAAATTTTAAATAGTATATTATCTATGTCTAAAAAAATATTCTATATTTATTTCTACATTTTAAGAGTGTAATTTTATTGCATATTTAACCTCCATTTTTATACTATAAAGAATTTTGTAAGTTTATCATTTCTTCTTTTCATATTATTAATATCATAAATTATCTCCGAAAAGAATAAAATGTAATAAAATATTACAAATAATAAAAACAAATTACTTTTTTAAAATTTTGATAATCAAATTCGAAATTAAATCCCCCAAAAAATTTAAAACAAAAATTGATCTGTTTACTAGGTCCGTTTGGGTACATGCGTTCAAAGAACTATTCATCGAATTGTTATTAACGGAATCTAGGAGTAGGTTCGAGGTCATGTTGTTAGGCAACTAAAAATATGATTCAATGATTACAATAATTTAATAAATATTTTATTTTATTTTACCAAATACAACACAAAATACATTAGAGTCCTGCCAATATATATATATATACTACTAGATTGGCGATTCATTAATTGAAAGTGCTAATACATAGGGGAGTCAGCTGTAGCGCCATATTGTGGTTTGCATCTTAATTCATCATTATATGATTATACATTAATGCCATTTAATCGACGTGCAAACCACAAAATAAAGTTACAGCTAGCTCCTATATAGGGCACTTTTAGATTTAATGTATAGATTGTTAATCTAGTTATATATACAAACACATCATTAAATCCTTCACGAATTTGTCTGAGTTAGTATTGAATCATGAATACGTACTCATATACGATTTAGCCAAGCCTTTAGCCCTAATAAAATTTTCTCCAAGTTGAGCCTCAGCTTAAAGATTGAAGCGAATTTTTTAAAAATAAAAACATGACAAATTAAAGAATAGGAAATTTAACAACACTAATCTGAACCCGGTATTTGTCTCTTTCAACTCAGTGCACTTTTCTTTTGGATGGGACGTGCCGGATTAGACAAAAAAAATTTATTTTCTCAATGCATTTATAAATCTTATTTTAGTATGAGCGATTATTTCTCGCTTTATCTGAAAACTAATTCATAAAATTACCTTTCAGGCCAAAAATAAGCTCTCGGGCCATACAATAGCGGAGAGGGGGATTCTAGTTTATATGTTAAAAAGGAGGAAATTTTTTAAACGATGATGAAGAGGGAAAAAAAATTGCTGGAATATTTTTAGTGAGTAAATGAAGAAGAGAAGCAAGGAACAACCCAGTAAAATAATGATGGGAAAAATTTATTTTATTGATTTTTTTATACCTCTTTTATTTAGGTCGATTTTTTTTTATGAACGCCCTTTAAAATTATTAAATACGATATGGCAAGGATATATTATTTATTATCCATTCATTGTTGCCATAAGAAGTCATCCATAACCAATAAATAATATTTTTAAACAAGAAAAAACTAAAAAAATATATCTTCTACCCATTTCATTGGAAAAGCAAACTTAAACCATGATTAATGTCTGTGGAGTTAACTGATCTAAAAAAAATTCCTTATTTTAAAGATTCACATTTTATTGAAGTTCTTGCCAATATATGTATTATTATTGGGTGTTGTAAAATTTAAAAGTGGAACATAAGCTCAGGTTTCCCCTTCCTATTTCAAAAAATGAATTGGTTGGTACCAATAGTCTAATAATATAGACACGATAAACTTAGCTTATAATTTATACACCAAATAGATACAGTAAAAATCATCGACTTCATTTACTCTTCAATTATTCGTTTTTTTTCTTCTAAAATTTTAAGATAACAATTATACCCTCAAAATACATAGTATCCGAATAAAATTAAATATAGTTGGACTCATTGACGACAGGCCTCCTAACTAACAATTTTTTCCGAGGTAAGTTTTTTTTTATAAACCTTCATCATAAAATTTAAATTTATAAGTAGCAACCTAATGACTAGTCAAACCTCTGTCCCCTTACAATTCGTCCTAAAGACTTAGTCCGTTCCAAGAGAGTGTCCTTATGTTGCGTTCCGCCGAAAAAAACCCGTAAATTTATTATAACAAATTTAATTTTAAAAAGTCATTCTTAACATATTCCTAAGCATCTTTTAAAATTTGTTCATATATTTTATATAATTCTTCGTTTTTAAATAGAAGAAAAAATTTATGGGAATGATATGCTAAAAAAATAAAAATATAATAGTTATTTAAATTAAATAACTTAAATTATTTCTTATTGAATTCTCATAATTATTAAAATATGTTGTTTTTTGTATCTGTTGTAAAATTTTGAATGTTAAAAGGTTTTGTAGTGAAGACCAACAATACAGCTATATAAAAATATTATACGTTTTCTCCATCAACGCCACTATCAAATAAGGAAGGAGTCAGGGGCCAATTTGCCGACATGAAAGAATCCAAGTTTAAAGAGTTTTCAAAACGATCACTCTAAAAAAATAATGAAAATTTATTTTAGTTTTATTAAAGTTTTATATCATTATACAAATTACAATGGGAGTAATTAACATGGTCACTTTTGGCTGACTAAACCCTGATCGATGGGAAAATAGTAATATTGGAAATATGCAAGATGTTTAACAATTATTTATTTATAATTTAAAAATATAAACAAAGTTTACATTTTTAATGAATGAATGAAAGAAATAGTGTTGAAATAGTTAATTGACAGTATAACTACATCTCGCTTATCTAGGTTCCGGTTCCAATCAGATCAATTTTTTTTCTCAGTGAAAAGTATGACGCCGAGTTTCTCCATAGTGAAATCAATTAAAACATAAGTATGGACAAGAGCCCTGTAAGTCTGTCCGAAGCTGAGTCTGGGCCTACCGATATTTCATTTAAATATTTCGGACAAGGCAGAGCTTAAAATTAAAAAAATATCAAAATGGTCCGGATCTGGGTCTAGAAATAAACTAGGTATAAAATTGAGGCCATTGTGGGCTCGAGCCTATTTCTCTCTTCAGTAAGGCTGTTTTTAAACTAGTCGTGATACTAGCAGTTTAATTTAGTTACATTCCAAATTTTAGGATCAAGAGCTAAAAATTAGATTAGTTAAATGATATATATAAAAAAATAAATTAAAGTGGAAATGGGAAATGGAGTGGTGGGTGCAAATTTTTTTATTTCTTTTTTAAATAAGAGGTTAATAACATATTTAGATTGGAAAATTAAGATATAAGATATCCACAACCCGTTTTCATAATAACAAACAATTTTAAATAATTATTAATATACAATAAATTAATAACTGATAATACATTTACCAAGATGTAAAAAAGGATGTGAATAAGCTAAACTTATATAACTGTAAAAATTTATTTTATAATATATTTTAATATAATAACCAGAAAATGATATTATTATGAAGAAAGGAAGAATATTTTTCTTTATGATTTTATTTTAAAACTATTTAATCATGTCTTAGCCTGCATATTTAAAAAAATAGCACAAAGCTTTAATTAATTATCTATAATAAAATATATGTAAACTAGAAGTAAAAAATTAGTATTTTCATCGCCTAACTTTTTCAATTTCAATATTATATTTTATAACATGGGAAAAATAAGGCAACGAGAAAAAATAAGGCAACGAGAAAAAATAAGGCAACGAGAAAAAATAAGGCAACAAGAAAAAATAATTATTATAATTAGAGATAGGTACAAATGATCGAAAATGCTTTAAAAACTAGAAATGGTTTAACTCAGGGTTATGTAGAGGAATGACACACGTTTGTTATGCCTCTGGCTAAGACAAGTAATCTCTCGCTAAATGAAAAATTTAAATACAATCAATTTCAATAATATCTATTTTATCACGAAGTATTTAATAATCAATTGCACTAATATCTATGTTTTATCACGAAGCACTAATTAATGCATTCATTAATTATACTTGATATTAAAAACACAAATTATACCCCACCTGTGGGCCAAGAGAAATTTTTACCGGGCTGAATTTTTTAAAAATATTTGATGATTAAGCAAATCTATGGTTTACCTTAATATAATATTATTAAGGGTTAAGTAGGGCCAAAAAACCTGATAGAAAATTTTCACATGCCGGTTCAGCCCAAGCGATCTCTACCGAATATTACGTTATTTAGTATTATTTTTAAGTATTTAGGGGAGCTAAAATGTTTTATCTGAAACAAAAACAGACGGTTCGATATTATATAACATGTAAAATTTATGTAAATTTTAAAAGAACACTTGCTCAAATAAAGGTAATTAAAATTAATAAAATGGTTTAAAAAAAATAAAGATCATATTTCAAAAAAATATATAATTTAACAAAAATAGTATAAAATATATAATTAATTAAATTATGCGAAAAGGCAAGCAGACTTGCGGCATACCCTTAAACCCAGGAATTACCAAAAAACTATTCTTTTATTGGACGAGAGAATATATTCTATGAAGGGTTATTGTGATAAAATTAAAAAATTGTTCAAATGTAATTCAGAATAAATCAAGTGTTTATAATAGCCGTTCGCCCTATTTTTTTAACCTTATCTGGCCAAACTATCATTTAGACACAACTTAGAGTCGATCATTTTTTAAAAGGCTTTGATTAATAATTAAATTAATAAAATCATAACTAATTTTTTTTCTTAAAAGAGTGAAAGAGTTATGTTTAAATTTATGAAAATAAATTAAGGTATAATTAGTTATTAACTTGTTAAGCCTATTCAAAAACTAATACGAATTTAGTAATTTAGAGAGGTGGTCTGCGGGATTTTTCGGGTGTAGCTAGAATTTTATACAAAATTTGCTAACAGGCCAGACCAAAAAACGTTTTGAAATTATTGACGAGCCGATTCTGTGATTTCTGATCTAATTGACATAATATTCGGTGATCCTATTAGGTATGGTTCTTACCTATTTGAATTCGGTTGGTTCTTAACTAGTTCTTGATCAGTTTTTTAAATATATAATATATTAACTTTGAAGAAATCATTTAGGTAATTCAAAGGCCAAATTGATAAAATGAAAGCGAAAATTGGGGAAAATAAAAGTAGACAGGCGATCATTTAAATATAAAGGGAATCAATTTTAGACAAAAATAAAAAGACTAATGTAAAAAATAATATTATTTAAATTTTACATCGATGATAGGTAAATTTGAGAGCTGGTTTTGTTCTAATTCCAGTTTCAAGGCAAATAAATTTAGCTTAATCTCAGCTAATTCTTTTAAAGTCTCAGCAAAGTCTAAATCTTTGATAACAATCACACCCATATTCGGTAATAATTGACGGTCACATTTTGTTACTCCGTTTATTCGATTAGCGATTGATTTTTCGAGGATCGGAATATAATCATCCATATTTTTAAAGAGTGTATTTTCATTATTATGCGGAAGACTGGGACCTCTGTAATATTAGAAGAAAAAAATATTTCAAAAAAAATTATATCTTATATCAATTATTAAATTTTAATATAATCCAAGGGACTAGTTTAATTTAATTATAAAATTTTTAAAAAATAGTGATTTAATCATATAAATCAATTTTTTGATGCCAACACTATTCTCCGCGTTGAATTTTTCTCATCTCTTAATGAAAGGTACAATTTTTTTTAAAATTCTTTATATTCTTTGAATTACCTTTCTATGCCATTTTTTCATGATATCATATTAAATATTTATAATTTGTTGCAAAAATATATTTTGACAATATTTTAGTTTTTTTTCGTTCAAGTTATATTTTATAGAGTTTGAAGTGCTTTCCAAAAAAAATATATTGATCTCTGAAGATTTTTAATGGTCAAACAGGATTTTTGATCAAATTTTACCTAAAATTACAAAATTTTTTTTATAAGTATTCTATGTATAAAAAATCTTTCATGATGAATTCACAATTTTTTTAAATCTTTAAAAAATTCTTCAATTTTGATCATCAAGGATTTTTAAAAAAAAACTCTTTTATATACTGGAAGTAAAGTTGACAAAATTTTAAAAAAAATTGATTTATCAAATAATACTAATATTTCAATGAGAAGTTACAGATTAAATAGAAAAATATTATAAATAGTAATTTTTTTTAACCTTAGTATAATATTTCTTTGTAAGTAAAAAGTGAATGCTTTGGCTAATTTGATAGTTTGTCAAATGAAAAGTCGACTGTATATGAGCAAACTGTTTTTTAAAAAATTTAACTAGTCGATATCAGTGAGTAAAAAAGAAAATCATTCATTTTCTAAAGCATACTATTATGAATATCCTCAAATAAAACTATTAAACCAAATTTTAAAAAAATGGTGGTTTTAATATTTTTGATTTTAGCTACTGTTATTTCCCAATTTGGCGTCCTGATTTATAAACCATATTTTAAAATATTCGTTAATGCCTTTAATTTCAAATAATCTTGATCGTTAGTTTTGTAGAAATTGTTAAATATGTCCCAAAAATTAACATTTATAAAACTCATCCTCTCTTCCCGATAGAGGTTTTTAAATTATATGATATATATACAGACCGTAAGCCACGAGAGGAGGAAGGAGGAGCTAGAATCCCCCGCCTCCCCCACCAAAAAAAATTTTTGGACCCCAAATTTAAAAAAAAATAATTTGTTATTAAATTTTAATTCACCATTTACAATTAAATCTAAATGAAAATATAACAAAATTTTTTGAAAAATATTATTTATTCAATTTATACAAATTAATAAACAAGTTGTGAAAATTTGGGCATAATTATTCGTTATATTTTTTGTGGAAAAATCTAAGAAAATTTAAAAGGAATCATTAATTTTCAATTTCTTTTTGCTGAAAGAATTACTAATTGTATTTTAAAGCAACATTCGAATATAATAAGCCAGGCATAAAAATGGAGGAGCACAAACCCTGCTTCAAAAAAAATTAATAAAAAAGTGCCTTATATACATTGCCACAGCCACTAATGCATCTTGTTGTTCAAAATGGATATAATAATATTGTTATCAATTCATTTTTTTAATTTATCTAATGCATTGTTTGAGGCGTTTTAACGTATCTTGTAAATATAAAGGCCATAATCTTGAGAGAATTTTAGATTAGAGGTGGACTGTTTTTAGGAACATCTCGTATAATTTATAAAAAATTTGAGGGTATTGGTGAAGTATTATTTTACTTTTATAATTGAACTTTTAACTCGGAGGTTCCACTCATGATTCAGTCAAAGACTCTGGTCATTTATATAATGCGTTAATATAGGTTACATTATATTGGCCATTTTAATTTATGAGATATTAATAACAATGATCCATTAAATAAGATTCTACATTCGTAGGTACTATTATAGTGAATGCTAAAAAATTGTATTGATTCCACAATTAATATATTAAAGAATAAAAATGATAATTCTTTTGATTTGATAAGAATTGGCTTGTACACTTATATCAATATTTAATCTCATCACTCAAAAATTATCAAGGAGAATAACTTCATGTAAATTGTTTTTTAAATAGATTAACACATGATGATTATAATCTTTTATCATATTTTGGTAAACCCCCTAAACCCTGATTATTTTATATCAGATAAAATGATCCCATTATAATCACTCAGATTTAAATATGGAGAGGTTACATCATTAAATGATAGCAAAAGGATTATTAGCTGCAGAGTTAAAAAAAACATAATTTTGAAAATATCATAAATATTATAATGTCATCTTGCAATCAAAGAATTGTATAAATGTAACTCAAGAGCCATCATCGTATATCAACGGCTTTTTGTGTTTTGAAACTCCATTCTCTACACTAAAAAGTTCTATCGAGCACTAGAGATTGATATAAGATAAATACAGAATTTAGGTTTTAATTCATTTGTTAAAATTTAAAAATAAAATAGTCGTTTACAAATTTTTAATAAAAATTGTAAAAAATTTATAGAGTGCCTAAATATTTGTTTTATTTAAAAAAATATCAGCTCCCCTATAAAAACAGCTACCTCGCCCCTCGGCTGGAAATTCCTAGCTACGGTCCTGGATAAATGATTTAATTAACCTAAAATTCTACACAAAATAAATAGGCAGCGATGGAACGTGACTAATTTTATATCTTGAACCAATCTCATATCTATCTATCATGGTAAAATTCCACGCTGCATCTAACCCGTTTAATAAAATTATGTTTTCAGATGCAATAATAAAAAAATGAAAGATGGTTAGCAGAATTCATAAAACAATCAACAACTTCAGTAGAGTATTTTCATCAGTGTATTCCAAACTTAGGATGTTTAGGAAAACTAGTTTTCATTTAAACATTTTTCAAATACCAATGTCGAGTACATGAAAAGTTGGAATGCACTGTCAAGGTTAGGCATAAAAAATCAATTGTTAATTTTAACATTAGAAGGTATATTTGAATTGTATTGTTTCTAATTATAATGATAAAATTCTTGTATGGGGAATGCTAATATAGTAAAATAAAATTTAAAAAAACTGATTTTTCTGTTATTTTTAGGGATGTACCGGCATTTTTTTACGGATCGGGCAGATATTTCATCTTTCTGAAAATATCGGTTATCGGCTTATAAAATTTTCCGATCCGATAAAATGGAGTCTTAATTTTAAAAAATTTTATTTCAATTTATTATGTAAATAGATTAATGTTATTATATAAATAAGTGATTTATCAATAAAAATATTTTATATATTTTTAAATTCATGAATATAAACTATAACTGATCATTATAATATATTTAAAAAATGACTTATGTTATGGTATAATTAAATTATAAATGTTATACTCTTAAAAAATATGTTTCGCTAATAGATGTCCAACCTTTGTGCTATCTATGAGCAAATCTTCAAGCTTGCGTAATTTTTTCTGGATATACTGAGTTAGCCGTTTTTAAAAATCGGCTCAAATGGAGTTGCAACACTAGATGTATACATTAAAAAAACGATTAGTATGATTACAGAATACAAAATCAGATATGATATCGGATCGGCAATCAACCGATTTCAATTTAATATCCGTAATCGGATCTGTCTCCAAAAAGTGATATTGGTAGACCCCTAGTTATTTTGACTAAATTTTATGTCATTTTTTTATAGACTGCAAACCTTGAATCCAAACTGGGTTTAGAAAATTCACTAAACCATAACACACTTTTAGAAGGAGAGTTCATAGCCAAGATTAAACAAACTAATTTTTTAAGGATATTAAATAATTTCTCACTACATTGAGATTATATACAATTAACAATTATGCAAAAATGGTACAAAATAAGTCAACTATTTTTTTTTATCTAATGAGTAATGAATACTAATACAATTTAACATTTTTCATATAAAAATTATTTAATGTAAAATAATCCAAATCTTTATCTTTCCTTATATTAAGTATTTTGATCAAATTTAGTAAATAGAATTTTATTCGGGATTGATTTTTATTGGCCAACCAAGGATTTAACTAATTTGAATAAATAATTGACAATATAATTTTCTTATGATGTAATATATAGTAAAACCCCGATTTTTCTGGTTTTATTATAATATAAACATTATATAACCACTTAAATATTCTCGATGTTAATGTTTTCCTACATTTTAAGTTTAAAATTTATGCTCCTCTGAAAATCGACTCAGTATTGTTAAACGCCGCTTTTAAAAGTAGCGCGTATAGCTACTAGTAGGGCTATGCATATCGACAAAATTCTCACCGATCGGATCCGATATTCATATAAAAGCGATCAGATAATTAGATTGATTTTTATACAACAAAATATATCTTTGAACCAATGTCAATAAAAAAAATTCTACATTTTTAAAATATTACAAATAAATTGCATTTTGATTACTTATTCATTTATTATTAGAGATTATGTATAAAATAAAAATAAATAATTATATATATAATAATCCAAAAACAAACATATATATATATAATAATAACAAGTTTTTTTGGAGAATTGAACAGAACCGATCCAATATTTAATATCGGTATAGCCTTAGCTTCTAGTTTCAAAAATTGTTTTCGTTACCTTTACGCTACTTTGTAAAAATTATTTATGTAAAATACGTTAAGCATAAATATTTGTAATTTCAAAGATTAAAAAAAAATATATATCAATCGTTTCTCAAGATCATTACTTTGTTAGGTCAAGGCCAGTCGTTCTACCGTTTGAGAAACTGAGTGTTTGGCAGTCATATAAAAATTCCTACAAATATAGTTGTAATTCACGTCGATTAATTAGGTTTACTTATATTTAATAATAGGGATTTTATAATCCCTGTAGTATATACAGTGGCCTGCCAAATTCCTTATTACCAAAGTGGTCCTCAAGAAATAGAATTTAGATATATATTCTTTTTTTAAAAAATGGATTTTAAATTTAGATATCCTTATTAGGGGTGTAACCATACCCCTTTTTGGAGGCCGATCCGATATTAAATTGATATTGGTCGATTACCGATCCGATATCATATCTAATTTTGTAAAGAAACCAATGGTTTTAATTTTTAATATACTTTTTTAATTTTTAATATACTTTTTATTGGTATAACATCTATAATTTAACTATACCATAACTTATGTCATTTAAGTATATTATAATGCTGTTATAGTTTATATTCAACTCAATTGCAATTCTAAAAGTATATAAAATTTGTTAAATCACTTTTATATTAATAACATTAATCTAGATACATAATAAGTAATAAACAAATATATTATGAAATTTGAAATAATTATTAAATCGAAGATTTCTTTTTAAAAATACCCAAATTTCCAATTTATCAGAGGTCAGCCTGCGGCAATGGTAACTGTTAATATCACCAGCCTCACTAAAAACAGATTCTGAAGAGATTATCGCATACTTTTATAAACATAATGTGCAAAAAAAATAACAATATGGCAGAATGTCTATTAATTAATTTAAAAAAATAAACATAAAAATGGATTTCGATTTTATTTATAAAAATATATAATTTTAGATATAACTTTTTTTTAAAATTTTATAACATTTTATTTTTGTTAAAAAGGCCATTTTATATCGAATCGAAAAATTTTAAAATATTTGCCGATAACCGATATTTTAAAATGGGTGAAATATCGGCCCGATCCGATAAAAATATCGGTACATCCCTAATTCTTATTAAAAATATTAAATAAATACAAGATATAAAATGCTTTTTTTTATGATCATTATCTATTAAATTTGAATAGATATTAAAAATTAATTCAGATAGTAAGAGACAATAAAATTTTTATGTGTATAGGCTCAAAATATTTATATTTTTTAACCTCATGGGCCGCTAATAAAAGTTTAGCCTAGGAAAATAATTAATTAATCTTTAGGTATATTAATGCTTTTCAAATTTTGGTAAAGGAAAATAAACAAGATAATCTTTTTCTACTATAATATCGTTATCATCACTTTTATTTTTCTCATCCTATTTGAAAATAAAAATTATCAATTTGTTAGACGATTTTAAAAATGCCCTTCCCCATTAATTAGAGTTTAATTATGCCTTTGTTATATTCCATATGGATGGTTATACTATATTTAGCATGCAACGTTATTTTAATTGGGTATATAATATAATTTGGGAATTTCAAAATATTTTGTTACCCATTTGTTTTTTAGTTTTAAAAAAGATATAATTTTACTTTTTGGTTGAGTATTTTTTGTTATTGGTGATTGAGCAATGTGCAATGGATGTTTCATAATTTTTAGGGTGACTTATTTTGAATGACAATTGAGATGTGGTGCGAGGCAACAGATCCTCATTTTTGATGTTATATAATCGAATGTCATCCTCATTTTCATGATTCAACTTGAGCATCATATCTTGCATTTCCTTGATACTTTTTTCAATGTCTGTTTCTTCATCACCATCAATTTCTTGCTCATCTATGGTAGACGTAATATTTGAAAATGATAGATCATCTAAAAAAAATTGTGACTCCTTATTATTAATAAAGGCAGTCATATGAGGCAATTCATTTGTGGATGTTGATATTGGCTTCAATAATGTAGGAGAATTAGATTTTAGACCTTTTCCTTTGAAAGAGTTACTAGGGTCAATGGAAAATGAAGGAAAAGATGTTTCAAAGCTACTCACATCATTATTATTATCATCTAACTCCTCCCTAGATGAAGGCATGGAGGAGGTTAAGTATATAGAACCATTTAAATCACTTATATCATCATCGCAATTTCTGAACAAGTTTGAAGAAATATTCAATGAAATATTATTGGATGATAAGGATCCTTCTTGTTTGAGAGAAGAATTTATGATCTGAGAGTTGAGTGAAGATGTGAGTTTCTTCTTAGGGGTGGATGATACAGTATAATTGATAGATGATATTTGAGAAGATTTACATTTTGAAGGTGAAGGTAATAATTTATAATGGTTGTCATTAACATTGTGGGTGGCCCCTTTTGCTTTTGAAGAGGCATGGGTATTAGATAGATCAATTTTATTAGAGTGCAAATAATTTTTTCGAGTTTTTGGGAGTGATTTTGAAGTTTCAATGTTAAAAGGGGTTACATTCTTATGTTTATCTTTAGTGTCTTTATTAAAAGTAATAATTCTGCTGACACTTTGGGAATAAAGATTTAGAGAAAGTGTAGTCTGATTATTTGTTTTTACATGATTGAATGTGGTTTTAGGAGTTAAAGATGGAATCTTTGATTTGATATAAAGAGGAGATATTACTACCTTGTCATTAATATGACCAATTTTTGGGTTATTCATGTGACTATTCCTACTAACATTTTTAGATGTTATCAATTTATTATCTAAGATACCATTGAGTTTGCTTGGATATCTTAAAGTTGACAAGCACACTTTAGTATTGATTTCATTAAGATCATTATTTTTACTCTTTAAACATCTGGTTCCACAATTATCACTGCATTGAATGGAATCATTTGTCAATGGCAGTAATGATAAATCATTTGCAATATGGAAGCTCTTATTTCGCAGCCCATTGATTAATGGTATTTTGGAAGTTTGAAATGGTGATAAGTCATTTTTTTTATTAATATTGGATTTATTATCTATTAAAGGCATTTATCGATATATAATATAGTTTTAGGTTTCAATATTTCAAAAATAAACACCATATTATAATATTCTGGGTGAAAAATAGGAGCCACCTTTTCTATATTTTTTATTAAAATAATAATGAAAAGATATATATTACATTTTTAGAAAATTTTAATTTTCATAATAGACATGAATAAATTTAATTAATAAGGCTAATTTAAAACTATAACTTCTGATTGCATTCTATTAACTTCATAGCTTTGGTATTCAAAGAGAGGGAAATAAAAATTATCATTGTTTTATTTATTTTACCCTCTTAAGTTTTGCTAAAACATTTATTAGTACTTATAAAGAAAAGAAAAAATATTTTTTTAATATCATTTAAGAGCTCCTTATATTATTTATATTTCAACTTCTTAAAACCTTAGTTTAAAATAAATAAAATTATTTATTTGTAAAATTTTTCATTTATATATTTATGTTTTAAAGATTTTACAATTGTGCAAATACATAGAATTAATATAAATAAAATTGCTTATTTGTAAAATTTTTCATTTATATATTTATGTTATAAAGATTTTACAATTGTGCAAATACATAGATTTAATATATTTATTTATACTGGAAAGGATAAGACATCCTTATAAATTTTATAAAAAAAAAATTTAAAAGAATTCAAGACATAACTTAGGTGGTTTTTTTAAACCAATTAGGATAATAACTTAAATATGTGATTACAATACCTAACTAAGAATATATATGAAAAATCATAAGCATTTTTTTAATAGGATAAAAATGTATGCATAAATATTTATCATAAAAAACACGGTAATTATGTAAGATTTTACATAAATGACATATGTCAAATATAAAGATATTGTCTATAAAAACATTACTTAAAATGAACCAACATTGAATAGGCAGGCATTCATTTACGATATTCGCATCAATTTATCAAATTTAATCCTGAAAATATAAAATTTGTTAATAATATTGTACATAATCTTGCAGTAGCCGCGCACTATTTTTACTTGAAATTATATTTTTAATTTATTAAATTATTTTTTTTTTTTTCTCTTTAGCTTTCACCTTTTCTGGTGGTAAGCTCCTTCAACATCTCTCTCCACTTTATGTTATTCATACAATCTCTTTATCTATTTTATACTTCTTTATATTGGCTCTAACTTTATGGCCCCATTGAAGTTTTGGCCTTCCTCTTTTACGTTTGCCCATCACTTCCAAACTTTCAACTTTATTTCCTATGTAGTTCATAGGCCTTCTCATTGTGTGCCCATACCACCTAAGTCTGTTTACCATTAACTTAGTCTTAATGGGCACTACCTTTAAACTATTTAGTATTCTTGTACTGCGCACCTTATCCTTTCTTGTTACCCCAGCAATCATCCTCAGCATTCTCATCTCCATAGTTTGTAGACTTCTCTCGTCTGATTCTTTGGTTGGCCATGTTTCCGAACTATATAGAATAGTTGGTTGTACTATGGAACTGTAGATTTTTCCCTTTAATTTGTGTGGGATTCTTTTGTCAAATAGCACTCCAGATAAAGCTCTCCGCTTTAACCACCCTTGATTAATCTTATTCTTTATCTCTTTTTCTATTGTGCCGTTTGTTTGTATAGTGGAGCCCAAATATTTGCAGCTTTCAATTGCGGATATCTGCTAATCATTTATATCAATACTCTCCGTTTCATCTCCTCCTAACACCATATACTCCGTCTTTTCTCTATTTACTTTTAATCCGTGCGTTTCTAGGATATTTATCCAATTCACTAACCTTTCTTTCATTTCATCCTTGGATTCGGCAAGTATCACAATATCATCTGCAAATATCATATTCCACGGGACTGTTTGAGGTATAGACTGTGCTAATACATCTATTACTGTAATGAAGAGAAGTGGGCTGAGAGCCGACCCTTGATGAACACCTTCGGCTATTGTGAAGCCTGCTGAAGTACCTGTTGTGCTACGGACCATTGTTGTATGTTCCATATACATATCCTGTATTATTCTTATATATTCTGGAACTTTCTTTTTTGTGGCGTAGCGCCCACCAGATAAGTTTTCTTGGGATTCTATCGAAGGCCTTTTCTAGATCGAGAAAGACCATGTGTAACTTTTTGTTCTTTTCCCTGTATTTTTCACTCATTTGCCTAATTGCATGGATAGCATCGGTTGTTGATCTTCCAGGCATAAAGCCAAACTGTATCTCTCCTATTTCGATTATATCTCTTAATCTTTTTTCTATTATTTTTCCGTATAGTTTTAGACAGTGTGACATTAGTTTTATGCCCCTGTAATTTTGACAATTGTTCCCCTTTATTTTTGAAGATAGGAACTAGATAGCTCTGCCTCCATTTTTGGGGAACCTCTTCATTTCCAAGTATTTTATTGTACAGATTTGTGAGGAGATGTATTCCATCATCTCCTAGTACTTTAAGGCTTTCTATCGTCTGGACCCCTAGCTTTGTTGTTTTTCATATGCTTGAGGCATGTGATTATTTCTTGTTCTGTTATAGGTTGTACAAGGTTTTGACAAGGGGAGTGTTCATCGAGATGCAATATGTGGGAATTAAAGTTGAGAAGCTCCTGAAAATATTCTTTCCATCTATTCATTATTTCTTTTTCCTTTATTATCAATTACCCATCTTTATTTTTGATTACTTTCGGAGCTCCGTTTATATCCCTAGAGTTCTTTTCTCGCTGTTTGGCTAATCTGTATATTTTTTGACCTTCTTTGGTATGTAGATCTTCGTACATGTCATCGTATGCCATAGATTTGGCCCTAGCCACCGCCTTTGTAGTTAATCTCTTGGATTTTTTGTATCTTGACTTGTCATCTGCATTTTTGGATTTGTACCATATTTTATAAAGGGCCTTTTTCTCCTGTATAGTGGTTTGTACCTCTTGATTCCACCACCATAGTTCTTTGTGTGATTTGTTGCCTCCTCTTGTCAAGCCTAGCGTCGATTTTGCAGTGTCTATTAATATATATGAATGGTCTATCCAGATTTTTTCACTGACTTGTGAGCAATTTATTGTTTCAATGTTTGCATTGATTGCAAAGGCATCTGTCATTGTTTTTAATTTGCCCCATTTGATGCATGATTCCAGTTTTATCTTATTTTGAGTGGATTTATTTGAGATTTGTAAATCCATGATTAGTAGCTTGTGTTGCGCGACGATATATTCTCCTGGGATGACTTTGCAGTCTATTACATCTTTTAATCTTCTGCGAGAGATTAGCATGCTGTGTTTTCCTAGTACCACTTTCATATGTTATTAAATGACTGTCTTTTTTCCTATAGTAGGTGTTGGTTAAGGCAAGGTCGAAGGCTTGCGCAAATTTCAGTACGTGCTCTCCTTCATCATTTCTTTCTCCGTATCCAAAACCACCATGATGCCTTTTGTAGCTATCTCTTGCTTTCCCCACATGCGCATTTAAGTCACCACCAATTATGACTAGATCATCCTTAGGGATTTCCATTACAGCTTCATCAAGGATAGCTCTAAAGTCATCTTTCTCTTCTTCCTTGCAACCCGTTTGAGGAGCATATACTGATAGGATGTGTAGTATTGATTGACCAATGCAGAGTTTTATCTTCATTAGTCTATCAGAGATCCTGTTGACTTCTACTACTGAAGAGGTTAGATCTTGACTGAGGATGATGCCGACACCGTTCCTATTGCTAACAAGTCCATTATAGTACAATTTATACCCATCTCCAATCATCAAAGTTTTCTGTCCTTTCCATTTCGTCTCTTGTATGCACGCTATATCAACTTTTCTCTTGTTCAACATTGATGCCAATTCTCTCGTCTTACCTTTAAGCGTCCCAATATTCAAACTTGCTAGTCTTGTCTTCTTTGCTTTGACCTTTACTTTATTTTTCACAGGATGGAGGTCTACACCCTGCGCGTCGCATGGAGGGAACGCCCTAGCTTTCATATTCATATTTTCATTTGTGTCCTTCATTTTGTTTATTAGACAGGTATCCTTAGCACCCGGCTGTCCAGGCCTGTCGGTGATCGGAGTGTCATCTCTAAGCTCCGAAATTCATCATACCATATGTCTTTACACATCAGTCATATGGTTCTTACTAGGATTGAACCCGCGTCCTTGTTCATACTCGTGTTTCCAAGCCTACATCTTACCCATTAGGCCACCCCGGCGAAATTTATTAAATTAATTATGATGTATTTATTTTTAAAAATGGTATTTTTCAGGTAGTGTATAATCACAAAGAGTCAACAGCCCGTCTGACGCGGTAAATTAACTGAAAGCACCCCAAAAATATTTCTGAAATCCTTCTTGGACGAAATTATTAATAAAAGATAAAAGGTTTGAAAGATATAGAGTAGGGCTAGTTTATATTTAAAAGATATAAAATTTAGATGAATAAACATATTGCCAGTTTTGACCAATTTTTAAACAGATGCGACATATGATTTAGACTCCTTCAAAAGAATTCTCATCTCTTTTATAATTCTTGAATTAAATTAAGGTAGATTCTATTTTTTGAGAAAGCTTTTTAGCAAGAATAATTCATAAATTGATATAGGCCTGTTTCAGGATCTTCAAATTTTATTGTTATTTTTTAGACCAGGTTTAAGATTGAAATTTGAAGAATACCATTTTAGATGGATATAAACTTGCTGGGCTATATTCTTCAATTTTAAATCTGAAATATTTATTTCATTCACTAGTTTTACTTTTATTATTTATTTTACTATGTTAAATCACATATGCATTCAGGAAAAAAATTTAATATTGGTTAATTTTTAAATAAATAAATAAAATAATCCTGCTTCTATGATATTTTTTCATGTAATTTTTTTATTATGTTTAAAAAAAATAAACATTGGAAACCAAATATAACATTGCCTATTTTTTTAAATAGATAATAAAAAAATCATGGGCATATTTTATGTAAATTTTAGATTGAAAAAAATAAGCGTTAGAGAAGCATATAAAAGATGCGTATTTTTTAAAAAGTAAGAGAAAATTTTTTATATTATTTTTACTTTTTCTTTTCTTTAAAATTTATCACAAATATCTTTATAAAGAAAAAAAAATCAAAACTTTACAACCTAACTTTGGCTTCAACAACCACACATAAAGCCGGGATTTTAATATTAATAAAAAATAGAATTTTTTTCAAAATTCAATCTATCTTATAGAAAAAAATTATTAAAAAGTTTAAAATTTAACAAATTTAATTCTTGAGAATTTTATTCAAAAACAAAGGAGAGTTCCGATAATTTATAAATCTTAATATTTTGTATAGCTTAGTTAAATAAAAAGTCAATTGATTCCCTTGTAGTACTTCATGCTTCGCCACTGGTATATTCTTTGTTTTTCTTAACGTATAAAGATAGCAGAAAGAGTTTCCCAAATTAAAGGGAGCTATCGATGAATAAAGATATGTATGAAGATGAAATTATTATTTGAGGCTACAAAGATTCTACTCAATATATAACAGGGACTAATGAGTCCCGGGGTATAGGGGTCTGGAAGAACAGAACTATTACAGAAGAATTGAAATTCAGGTTAAAGTGTAAATATAAAAGAAATAAATATGTCGTGAAAACTCATAAAATACCTATGATATAAAAATTAAGCGTAATTATAGATGTCCGTAAATAAAACACTTTATTGAGGATTATAAATCTGGTTATGAAAAAATTAATAAATAAGCTTTTACACGTTACGCCCTTAATATAATTAATCTAGTTCAAATAATATTATCCTCCTAATTATGCTTAGTATATTTAATAATTTTTTAATATTAGTTATTAAATTTATTATT